TTGAAACGATTTCTCTTTTTAATCGACGCGAGGCGACCGATCGAGTAACGGTACGTCGCGTCGCGTCGCGTCGCGTCGCATCGCGTCGCATCGCGTCGGCGAGTGACGAGTGGAGAGAGAGGGAAAAAATTACGTCCAAGGCAGATACGAGCGTGAAAAATTCTCGCGTGTGCGAGCCACGGGAACAAATAGTTTAGGGTGGTAGTGGCGGGCATTTATCTCGGCGGACGATGATAAAGGGAAACAGAGGTTCGCGGCGTGTTGGAGCGAATAAAACGTAGTCGCGGGCTGCGTCGAATAATGCCTATCACGGAGGGTAAATCGGAATTTACCCCAAACGCGAGGCGGGCGTGCGAGCGAGCGAGCGAACAAACGCGCGACCATATCTCGTTGGGCCCACCCCCTGTGGCCACTCGCCGCGTCCGCCGGTGTTTACCGCAATTATTAAATGTAAACTCATATTTCGTAATTGCCAAATATTGGCGGTCCGATCGGTCGGTCGTGGCCCGATGCATCTCGCGAGGGGATGCTGGTGCTCGCACGTTTTCATCCCTTCTCGCATAACAAACCTTCCCGGCGCGGAGGCCTTCCGAACGAATTAAACCTCGACCAATCGATAAATGGATTTACCGTGGCGTTCGGTGTCGGATACGCTTCGCCTCCTTTGCGTTTAAACGAAGATCACGAGTCTCGGAACGATGGGAAACCTGCCGTTGATTTTGCGGACGCAACTACTTATCTACCTCGGTTTTCTCTGCTGCTAATCCCCGTTTCTTTTTCCCATCGAAACGAACGTTTCGAAAAATGCCGCGGTTCAAACAACTTAATCGAATAGGGGATTTTCGATAGTCAATGGGGAGGGAAAATCCAGGCCGTTGACGAGGGATGTCAACGGCGTGGCGTCAGCTTGTGTAACTATCGGTAATTAATCAGAATCATACCCGTATATCGTGTCCGTCGGGTGCGGCGAAGGTACCGGAGGTCCGAGGGGCGGTAGGCGGGGGGTTACCGGTGGCGGAGGTGGCGGAGGTGGCGGCGATGCTGGTGTTGGTTGCGAAAGGGTAGTTAACCAGTGACGTCACGCCCGTGGCGACATCTGCTCCGGCACTAACCACCGGACACTGCAGAACGTTGGATACTGGACACTAGCCCGCTTCTAACTCTGGATCAGGATCAAAATTACCCTTGCGATCGTGCCTAGCCTCTGCCCACCGACAGCTGCTTCTAATTAATTTCGCGTTCGGCACGGTTTACGACCTTTCCGCTCGGCGAATCACCGTAAACGCGATCGGCACGTACCGGCTAATACATTTATTTACTCGTTAGAAAATTATTATTAATAACGGTATCAGTTATTCGCGATACTTTTCAGCCCCTCCTGACTCATATCTCTTTTACGTTTTGCGTTGCGTATGCGCTCGGAAACTTTAACAAAAATGCGGATAGTTTGACCATCACGGTCGGTGCTCTGGTGCGTAACGCCAGGTCCGAGCACGTTCCTCCGTCCTCGTGGCTATCAATTGCGGCTAATCCTTTTCCAGGACCGCTGGGAAACTCTTGTCCCTCTTCCTCCTCGTTCCCCTTACGAATACGAGAATCGAGGGTACACGAACTCGGTTACTCGATTCACCGGTTAGCGTAGAAACGTTCTCGCGTCCCGGTCACGATCGTATCGACGCATAATCGGCCAACGTTGCCGCGCAATCGCGATTCATATCGTTTTAAAACGTCGAAACGCAACCCCTCCCCCGGTGGACAGTTAAAGTTCGGCCGGCTAACGGAACCGGTCATGTATATTAGATACCCAATTCCAGCGGTAATCCAGCCATAAATATCTTTGAATTATATTTTCCACCGCACTGGACACCATCACGAACGATTTGTTCTAAAAGGGAGATAGAGAGGGAGAGGACAGCAAGCGACAGGATGGAGAGCGAGACCGGGACGGGCTTTATTTAGCCGTTAATCGCTCAATTAAACTGGATCGCTCGAATTAGCTTTTAATCCTGGACGCGATGGTCGCGCGTTGCGCGGTATTTAAAAAAATCGAAATCAAATTTCCAGAAAGAGCCCATTTTTCTCTCTCTTGCCGCTATTGTTTCCATTTCCAGATTTTTCTATTCGATTACCGATTCCCTGCCCCTGTTACTATTCTATACCGGATATACCATTAACAACGGCGGCCCTCCTTCCTTCTCGAACCGTCGAAACCAACGGTGGACGGGACACGGTGGTACACACTGAACCTCGAATACAGAGCACGTATTCTCGATGTAGACGACAGTCAAAATTTTCCCATATTTATACGATTCGAGTTGCTTGTATTAATTTATCCGATCGACGAGAATGGCGTTATATCAAACTATGGATTTTCGCCTATAAATTTCAGTTATCGCGGGGAAAGAAAAAAAACCCGAGATAAATAGCCGTCCACGGAAAAAGCGAAACGGCGTAAATATTTAAAATCGAACGGGTATTTGCCACTAGAGAGAAATAATTCCGCGGCAGTTGAAGCACGTGGATACGGTGGTGCGTTGATGGCTCGACGATCTTTCTAGAATGTAACCTGATCGTGAATTTTCTGTACCATAATGGCTGTGTATCGGGAGCGCGCTTTGCGCGCTAATCTAATACCATTTACATCGAGGAACGGTGGCAGGATTGACGTGCACGGAAATAAATCCAAACCCGGGCTAACGCGTGCATCGAGCCCGCGTAAATCCGTGCTTTCCTCCTCGAACAAATCCAACGTCGATCGATGTAAATGAATTCCGCTCTAATTGCAATTATATGCCCCGAGTGCACATAAATGTTCCGCGTTACTGGATATATGACGCGTCACTCACGGCCGATCCGTGTGTCATTGGAAATTTATGAAATAGCGATCGGCCGTATCCGTATCCGTATCCGTATCCGCGACTTGCACCTTTCGCGTCATAATGGTGGCATTCAATAATTGGCGTTGCGCGTATAATCGCTCGACCGTCGAGACGATAGCGCATTACGTATTTACGTTGATCGAACCAAGACGTTTCGCGAGATTAATATTTTACGTTACTCACGGATCGTTAACGTCAGTCTCCGGCACTTCTCGTAGAAATTTTCTGTCGCTCGCTCGGCTCCGTCGGGATTATTTGAAATTTGCCTGGAGAAGAACGGTCACGGGGTTGCGCGACATCCGATTAGAACGACGCGGCCGACTAACTACGTTGCGTTTATTCGGCGTGAACGGCAATCGATATTAAATCACGTTACGCCATCCTGGCCCTAATGCCATTCTCGAAGAGTAAATCATTAAAACGGCGGTGGCCGTGCACGCCAATCAGCAGGCATACCATGTAAATACGCGATGGAAATTCCCCATCCTATCCCGGCGCAACACCGGCCGCCGCGTACTCTTCCCTAAAATCACACCATCCTCCTAACTGATTCGCTGTTTAGTTAGACCGATTTATTTATTGGTCGGCCGTGATTAGACTTTCGCTTTACCACGGACATGCGACCGCGTCAAACATTTGCCGGCCGGCCTGATTTGTTAACGAACGGCCAGCGGCGTCGCTCCGCGAAAAATACTTTACACGATCCCATAGTCCGAGTATCCGTTCGATTTCTCTTCTTGCTAATGACAAATACCTTCCACCACCTGTTGCTCAAAAATAAAATCAGTTTACAACGCTCGATGATATCTCTCGATCTTATGCCCGTTAGAACGATACCTATCCCACCGACTCTTGTAATCTGACTTTAACGATCTTACGTTCTGCTACCGGCCGAACAAAGTAACTCTTGCCTTGCTTTATTTTATCATTAACGAATAAAGTCGTAGAGTCGAAATAAATCGAACGGTAGTTTACTTTTGTCGATACATTATTTGCAACAATAATTTAGCATATAATACCGATGCAACAAACAGGGTCTCTTATTCTGCTTTCTTACGCAAAATTGTTAAAAGTTTACGGAGCCTTTAAACTCTTCTACGAATCGCTCGTCGTATTTCCTTTGGAACGTGCAAGCGTAGTTTGATTTTGATACCAGATCAAAGCGTGCAAAATATTTTTACGTATAATCATGCATATCCTCGAATATACTCTCCTTTGGGTACTTTTTGGTCAGCAACATTTCACGTAATCGTATAAATTGTTCCGATTCAAGTTTCATGTCTAATCGACGCAACGACGACGAGTTGCATCGATTTTTTCCACTCCTGTCCGTTACGGTACCAACAAAAATTCCGCGAACAACGTTACCGTCGCAAAAAGCTTGGACGAATAATATCAGCAGCGTAAAGGGCATTACCGCGAGACCGTGCCCCGGTGAATCTTCGATATCATTAGTTTCCTTTAATTACCCCCCGAGTCCAGCCGATCCAACTCGGCCTCCCCCACCTCTTGTTCTCGTCGGTCCGGATCGAAGAAGTCAGTTGGCAAGTTCTCGAACCTCGGATGGGAGAGGAGCGGTTCTCACGCTCGCTAGAAGCTTAAGGAAAAAGCACGTTAGGGGTGGGATAGCCGTGGAACGTGGACACCCACGAAGACGTGCCCCTTTCGCGATGCCCTATCGTCACCCCGAGCTTATTCCGCCCCTTAAGTTCTGGCCACACCCGCAATCATGCGCAGTTTCCACCCATCGGCCAATGAAAGCTCGAGAGCTTGCAAGCACTGCTGAGCGGCTTTCGAGCCGAGCCACTCCGACAAACACCACGTGCCACGCGGCCGAGTTGCACGTGCGTCCGCGGAGCTGTCGAGCTTTTGCGCGTTCGAGCCACGAGTCGAGCTTCCAACCGGCTTACCAACGAAACACGAGCATCGCGTCGACTCGTTCCCTCGATTTTTCTTCTTCCACTTATTCCCACTACCCACCCTTTCGTCCCTCCGCACCATCGCGTCGCGTCGCATCGGATCGCCTCGTTCCCTCCCTGGCATCGACCGTACTTGAAATTATTTCGTTGTTCGTTGCATCCTGAACCTCCTAAGGAGAATTCTTTATTCCGGAGAAAGAGAGGAAGGCAGGCGTGGTTGGTGTGCGTTCGTGTGAACATCGGTACATCGGACCAGAATCGTATTCGGGACAAAGCAGTTTCGAAAAGCACGAAGAACGTAAGTAATAGTTTCGTTATTTTTAACGACGCGAGATACGTGGGTTGATTTTTTCGAAATTCGCCGACGGAGGCGTGGGAGTCCGAGTCAAACATTTCGATCGTCACGAAACGATGATCGAGTACAATCGATGACATTTTGGTACGATCGTAACATCAAGCTTGGCCGATATTCAACAGTTGGTCCTTCTTTTATCTTCGAAACACGACCCTCCGTGCTATACCCTAACTTCGAACCCTTGACAGCTCCGCGCTTACGCTACCCACGATTTTCATATTCGAGACTCGAAGACCTTTTACGTAAGGGATAGTAAACAGTTGTCGGATCCGTATCCGTGCAAGCGCAACCTTAAAAAGTACGTTTTTCTACCTAGGTATAATTATCTGATTTGGTAATTCTACTTTAAATAAAATGCTAAATTTCCAAAGAAACGTACTCGATCGGTGGGGGGAAAAAAATAAAACTGCTACTTTATACGATAGAAGAAGAAGAGGAACGAACGGACGAACGAAACGGGAGAAAGAAAGAAAGATATCCGGTGGACTAGAACGAAACATTTATCCGCTTATCCGCGTAATTCTTTTCGCGGAGCGGCAACACACCTGCGGAGGAATTCGCAAGCAGTGAGCAATAGGTGTGGCCATAGGTGTAACATATTTATGTTGTGAACCAGCCGAGTGTGGGCAATAAATAGCGAGCGAGAGAGCAGACTCGGGGGGTGGAAGGGTAGGGGTGGTTGGTTGAGGCGCGGGGCTAGAACGATTACGCTTTCGAAATCCCTCGCCGTTCGACCGAGTCACTGGCACCACCATCGGCATCACCACCGTATCTCTACCCCTTTCACCCTCTCCCTCGACAGAATTCTACCCCGCCTCACCGCCGTACACCCCTATCTCCATCTATCTTTCTCTCCTTCTTTCTCCCGGTCCCGTATCCCGTTTCGTCCCGCACTGTCCCCGTACCCATGCTCTGGCCCACCTACGCCCCCTTCTCGAATACCCCAACCCCTCGTTCTCGCCATCCCCTTTCCCTGCACTGTCCCGTCCCAGTGGACTCTCATGGTGCCCGAACAACCCTATTCGTTTGTTTCCAGCCCGTATGCACGCATATATACGGAGGTATGCAATTTCGGTGTTAGGAATGCGCGAACGGACAAACGGCCGCACCGCGCGGGCCGCTTCTATCGTTTCTATCGCTTGTACGGTCGCGCGGGGATACTTTTTACTCCTTCGGAGAATATACATATTCGAGAAAGGTATGGGGCTAGCCGGGCACCTTGGATCGTCTTTGCCAGCCTATTTAATTCGTCGAGACTTTTCTCGATCTCGGTCCGGTATTATCGCATGGTTTCGATGCGTATAGGTAAACGTGCGCGCAAGTTATGCAGAGGCAGCGTGGAACAACGAGGTATTCGGATCATCTTAAACCCAAGCACCCCGCAGCATTCCAGCGATCTGTACGTATCGAGAATCGAAGGATGCAGGAACGCCGCGCCGAGTGGCCGCGTGTGTCGGCTGTCCGGCAATCCTAATGATGCATATCTCGACTCGGTCCGTTATGTCTTGAATGTCTCAACGATGCGATATCTGGCGGACGGGTATCGGTTACAGTGGCAGATCTAGCAAAGCGGGAGGCGGGTGAACGACGGGAGAAGCACGAAAGCTACCCGGAATAGGGGGAGGGATGGTGGTGGCGGTGGTGGTGGTGCATGGTCGCAATGAGGTTGAGAGCTTGCGGCCGAATGCCAGTCTAACCATGTCTAGCGTACGTTTACTTGCAAGCTTGCCAGACAGTCGCGCGCGTCCCGGACGTATCGCCAGCATTCGAGCAATGCGACTCAAGAGTTTGCGTCGGCGCTCAGGATCTTCCCCTGATTGCACCCGGCTACTCCGCGAGGATTGGCTCCTTCGGCGTTCCCCTGGCTTTCGCCAGAACTTTTCCCGAGGACGCGATCGCACCTCTTGCCCCGAACAGATCGAACGAGCTGTCCGGATACTCGAACGAAACGACCGATCGACCAAACCGACCGAGTAAACGGACTCGTAACACGTATTTCCGTTGCACGATGATTTCACAAAAATTGCTTTCCATCTTTCTTCCGTCAAGTTGGCGGTTTTGTTGGTACGCGGTCTCGGATATTTCAAGTAGAAAGGAAAATGCACTGCGCCGGGATTTACCGTGCATACGCGTCGGCGGGTTCGCTAATGAATTTTTTAAGTGTCCTTTTCGCGAGAGCACGCAGGCATTTCGACGCTTGTCCGCGATTCCCGGGCGAGATCCGAGGACGCGCGATGGGCAATAGGCGGTCAGCCAACGAAATTCCCTCAGTGTGCGTACACCTCGCGCATTCCGCACCGAGATTGCGCAAAAATCGGGCAAAACAAACGCAACTAATTTAACTGCTTTCGAACAATTAATCCGAAGCATTTAATTTAATTGCGCCGCAGCCCGTCGAGACCCCGGCTAGCGTCAGTTGAAACAACAGCCGATGCGAGACCCGGTTGGAATTTTCGGCCCAATGCGCTCGACTCGAATTGTTTCGTATGCAAATGAAAAAAAAGAGAAGGAAAAATACTGACGCGTCCGATGGACATTCAAAGTCGAAAACGATCGGACAACAACGACGAAGAAACGCACGCTCGACGAACAATAAAATTATAGTGCTTGCAAACAGATTAAACTAACGTTGGTAAAAGAATTAGTGACGCTTGCCGGGATCGGGGCTATTCGTCTCGATGCGAATTAATTATCGTTTTCTTTTTTTCTTCTCGTCTTTCCTCTTTCCGATATATTTTCAATCATTAAGAAAGTTCGGTTCGCGTATAGGCAGCCAAAGGTGTGCCGGATACTGGGAAGCGAACCCAGCAGGTGGATGTAATTAATAGCAAACTCGTATAAATCAGAGACAGGTTGGATGCGCGTTGGTATGCGTCGTTACCGATGCAGGATTATGCCCAGAGGGACGGTTACCCCACGACCCGCTAATTTTTCAAACGGCCGCCATAATGGTCCCGGCTAATTACTGATTTTTATCTTCGTGAGTCGGAACTGTGAAAAAGTTGCCGGTTGAACGGAGAGAGAGAGAGCGAGGCGAGTGGGGGGGGGACAGAAACAGAGAGACGAAAAGAGAGAACACGGAAGAGGAATAGGATTCGGGCCAGCGGTCGTTTTGTATTGCAATTTTACGAGACTGAGAAATTTTCCGCGATAAACCGCGGCCTATTATGACGGCCGTATCGTATTCGAACGAATCGAAGCGTAATTCTGTCCGTTGTCGTATTATTCCGAATAATAGAAACAATTTCCATCGTACGAAACAAACGTAGTTTCGTGTTCTTGGCGTCGATGGTTCCGATTGTTGTTGCGGGGCGAACGCCGCGCAGAAACTTGTCGAATCCACGGGAGAATCGTTGCTCGGGGTACAGGGTGTTTCAAGTTGTGCCCAGCGCGCGTATTTTGTGCGGATGGATACATTTAACTACCCCCAAACGCCTATGTACTTAACGTAACCCATGTAAGCTCACGCTAGAACAAATTTACCCCCAGCCCCCGACGGCCGCACTTCTCCCAACCATCCACTTCGAGTCCCTTCTCACCCCCTAATTCTCCCACGGAACACCGATGTTATGAAGTTGTGTTGAACTTTTCGCGAGCATAGTTTGCAGAACACCCTCGGGTGACTGCGAGGCTTACCTTGGCTCGTGACATATATCTACGCGGGCTCTAACAAACCGTCGAGGAAAGGAAGACGAGACGCGAAACCGAGGGTGGGTCGCGCGAAATTTGTGGAAGAACGCGTCATTCCGCCTCTTCCAATTTCGGCCACGTCCTCCGAAAGACTCGGTAAATTGCTATCAGCTACCTGTTGCCCAACGTCGCTAGGCATCAATCGACAACAAGTCCTGCGATAATTCTTTTCTCGAAATGTCTGGTAAATGTCTGATCTTGGAAAATAATTCTCGTCGTAAGGACAAGAGCACTCTTGCTGTTTCCTCGAGGTTTATCTGGTAGATTTGTCTGGATAACGTCCGAAGCGTCTTTCTCGCAAAGAAAGTCTTCCGTTTCTGCCGGAAGTATGCGTATGCGCCGCGTATACAGCTAAAACAGCACACGAGTTAGGAATTCTCGGCACGGCAGTCGGAGCCAACAGGCCCAGGCTGAAACTTACGGGCCAACTTTGAGGGGGGGTAACAGCATTACAACGTTATTAGATTTACCGCAAGCACCTACCCCCCAGGCACTCCTGTGCGTTCCACACACACACACACAGCCCTTCTCAAAGTATAAGTAACCCTAAACGCCCAGGCTAGAGCCTAGCTCGTGCCTCCAGTGTCTTGTATATTAAATTATGCGCGTGGGCCTCGCAGGTACGAATGAGAAATATTCCTTGGTACTTTGCTCGGCGTGCGAGACGAATTTTCCTGGACATACTTGAAACTTTGGAAAAAATTCAATCGATCGCTCGATGTGTACGGTGTTAGGGGATAAAACGCGGAAGGAAAACGTGTTTAGGACGAGAAAATAGAAGCGAGAAAGGGGGCAGTGGAAGGGGAAAGAGAGAGCAGGAGAATTTTCGGTGCGACTAGCTATTGAGTAGCTATCCTTAAGATAAGGGTGGTGTTTCACCCCGTCCCTCATACGTTTCCGCTATCTGACGCTAAACGGCACCGCTGCTCGTGGCCTTCCACGCAAAAGGGATGGTCCTGGCAGGATGGTTCTACATAATACGCTGGCACATTACTGTCGAAACCCCATTAGATAAGCAGAATTTAGAACGGCGAGACAGGATTTTTGTACGGGCGACGTTCGCTGAAAAATCACCGACCACACCGACTTCGTCACCGAAACCTTTTCCCTCGTTTCGGGCAATGATTCGGGTATTTTTTTCAACGCGAATAAAGCTGCGCGCATTGAACATTTCCGTTAAAAACATTCGTGGAAGGAATGTCTGGTTTCGTCGGGACTGTGTATATTCGATCTCGTATCGCACGAGACTGACA